GCTACCGTTTGCCTTGCTGATATTAATAGTAGTGATTATTCCCGGGAGTCTATCCTTATCTCACATCATCGAGGCTCAGGAACCGGTGTGGTACCTTGTGCCACTATTACCTATCTGGGTATTATGGGTAATGGTTGTTGTTGCAGAAACGAATAGAGCGCCATTTGATCTCCCTGAGTCTGAGGGCTGGGGGCTAAAGCGGGCTTATCTTAACCCCCGGGCTTCAAATAACCGGGATCCAAAGGATCCCCCTTCAAAGAAGCCCCCCCCCCCTAAGGCCCCTCTAAGCCCATGAAGACAAAGATACTCCCGTTTTATACGCAGAGAAACGCACGTGGGCTAATCTCAAGTAATTGAGATTACCCCGGCCTTGCTAGCATGAGGGTAAATACCCCGATAGCAAAACACTTCAGGGTTGCTATGCTTGCTATGCTTGCTACCATACCAACCATACCAACCATGAAGAAGAATAGGGAGTCCCTCAGAGAACTCGTATAAGTATATAAGCTTTGCATTGGCGGCCGCTCGACCTATCTTACCGCCGCCCCTAAGGGCCCCCCTAAGCTAATTTTAGCCTTGGTTTCCTCCATATGGGTCTTACCAAAGAACGCGTTCTTAGCCCCCTGTTGAGCTCTGCTCATCTTGGTACGACTCTCCTCTGAATGGTGGGGGATCCCCTAGAGAAGCAGTAAGAAGAATGTTGTATATGGGCCGTAAGGAATTAAGGGCGGGCCTACGGCCCGGGATCCTTTGGATCCCCCAGGCCGGTCTGCTGCTCGAAGCCCAGGTTCTCCTTCTTCGACGCACCAAGGGGTAAGGATGTAACACGAAGGACGAATAACCGTACTTCAGCAAAGCCGAGAATATGTGCGAGTTCCCCTTATAGTTAGATGGCACTAAAGTGCCAGTCAGACTTAGGCGGCCCGTAGGCCCGCTTTAGCCCGGCTTCAGAGAACCCAGAGATAATTGGTTAACCTTTTCCCTAGATTAGCGGGGCTTCAGATAAGCCCGGGCTACATAGTAATCAGCTGTCTCATTGTTATACCAAAGGTAGACGCCACTTTGACCTTTAGGGGGCCAACACGTATCTCCTCTGTTACCGGGTTATAAGACAAGAGAGGCCCTATTTTTCTCTTGTCCCTCTTTAGGTTCTTAGGTTAATCATTAGGGAAAGGCAAAAGGCCAAAGGCAGAAGGCAGAGTCGATCTAACTCGTACCAGGTTTTATCCAAGCTATGGTAAGGGTAGAGATATTGGATTGAGCATCTGGACATGTGTAATATAGGGCTGGGGGCGGGGGGCCCGGGAAGACTATACCAGCCATTCCAAATCATAAACCGTTCTTGATTAGGTGGCTCAGGTGCCGATATGACCGATATGACTGGACGAAGTCCAGCATTCCTCCGAGGTGGACACAGAGTAACGTGAGCTACTTGACAGTCTCTGTCTTATGATGACTGACATAAATTCCCAAGTTACTGTTTAGTAACATACCCAACGAAGTTAGACTTGTTCCTATAGTTTCTTTATTGGGATGTAGACTACATCCTGGGGCAGTTGATCTTCGATCCCTTGTTTGTCTTCGATCCCTATGGGTGGTAGAATCAGGGGTATTGCTTGAGAATCCCATTATTATGTTGTCTGCGTATCTTAATCTTAGGTAGACTGACAGAAGTCATTTGGCATGCTCGAAGAAGAATCAATACACCAGGCAGAGGGTTTGTATCAGATGTGCCCGCGTATTAGTTCAGTGGGAGTTAGGTTTTAGGGGGCACCTTAGGGCGGGGGGTTCAGAGGGGGAGGGCTAAAGCCCTGGCTTCAGAGAAGCCCGCTTTAGCCCCGAGTCTAAAGTTCTATAACCCGTAGATTCTTCGTAGTAACAGGCTGGGACTCATGGTTCGATCCAAGTGTTACCTGTCGCTCCAGTGATTACCTCATCATCCGAAAGGGGTCAAACGTGGGGGGGCAAGATAGAACCGGGGCTTCTCTGAAGCCCCCCCTATACACCCTCCATATTCTAGTGAAGTAGACGATTTAACTACCGTTATACGATACTCAGTATCAGCTTGCAAACTTTGCAGATCCATGTTGGTATTTTGAGGTGAACGATCTTCTCGATGATGCCCTAGATGTGCGAGATTATCTAAGAGATAACGTCCATGTTTAAGCAAGCCTTTCCCCCTAGAATTTATAGGTTACTTCCCCTTCATCGAGGTTTTATTGCTCCTTGCTTTCCTCTTCTAACTTTGCTAGGGGGGCCCTAGCGGGCCTACGGCCCGGGCTAGGCCAATCTAACAATTCCCCCCCTTAATTAACCCCAAGGGGTATAAAATCTGGGCAGGTGACTGAGTTTGGTTAAAGGTGCCTCTCTTGAAAAGGGGCAATGCTCAACGCATTCCTGGGTTCAAATCCCAGTCTGCCCGGTATTTATCACTCAACCCTTGGGGGCTTTAGCCCAAGTACCTAAGAAGTTAGAAGGCATCCAATCCAATCCCTCTTCCATCCTGAACTCTTTACTAAGGAGTCTTAAAGGTGTTCAATTTGATAGCAATTTGATCCTTACTAGTTCCTTGCAGAAGATAAACTTCCCTCTTACTAATTAAGTGCACACAACTTGCTTTAGGAAGTGTTAATTCCCTTGTGGTTACAGATTTAGGGGCCCCTAAATGAAATACCTTAATGAACCCGGCCCCCGGGGCTAAAGCCCGCATAAGGTAATGATTCGCCTGTACAGGCGATAAGCAAGAGTGTTTCCCTTCTACAATGAAGTAATGTAACTACCCCCTGGTTCTACCGTAAGGTACTAAAGAGAGAGGATAAAAAGCAACAAATTGGAGTAATTACACTACTATCAGTAACTTCATTAATGATTGAATCATTCATCTCTTACTTTCCGCTTACTAAACACGCTACTCCCCGGTTACTAAAGACGGTAGTAAAGAGAGACCCTGTTCCACTAGTCAAGAGAGAGTACTCCAGAGACACGAGAGTTAATTCCTAAAGATTAGGAAGGCAGAACTTCAGACTCCTGGATTGAACTACGGCAAACCATACTTAAGAGGGGCGGGGGCCCTAAAGGGCCCCCCCGGGCCTCCGGCTTCAGAGGAGGCCCTGCCTTAAAAGAATCCCCCCCTCTACCTATCCTCTTCACCAACCCTTATCCGCTGTTTACTTAGCCACCTCCTCTTGGATAGCTAAGCTTTTCCTAAAGGTCGATTACATGATAATTGGTTTTGCCTCATGCAACTACCAGGGGGGTTTAGCCCCTACCCGGAGCGGAGCGGAGCGGAGCGGAGCGGAGCGGAGCGGAGCGGACCGGAACTACCAACCATAACCAAGGTCGAGGTCGAGGTCGAGGTCGAGGTCATCCCCCCCCCTCATGCCAATGGGCTTTTCTTATATGAGCTTAGTAATGAAGGGTTTAACCTTGTTAACTCCTTTCCTAATTCGCATCAGGCCGGTGAATTTATTGGTGTTACCTTTCACTGTATATTTAACCGCATGAAAAGGGGGAGTATTTGGTTGTTTTCCACGGTATTTCTTACCGTGTATCCTTCGGGGCTCCTTTGCCTCTGTAGCCCCTTTAGGCCCCCCCCTTTAACTGTCTTTCTCCTATCGTCGATTCCTTCTTTCCACAGATTCTAATCCCTTGAGACCTTCTAATTTGGGGGGCCTCCAAGGAGGCCCCCTATAACTTCAAATTCCCCGGCCCCTTGGGGCCCTCTTATTTTAACCGTTCACTTAAGTATAACCTCTCCTGAAGACTCTTACCTACCCTGTCAGCTTGGATAAATCGAAATATCTGAGAATAACCAGGTAAGTGATAAGGGAATAAGAGGAAGTTGTATAGGGTAAGATTAAGGGAAGATACTGGTTATCGGTGAGTACTTAGCCAAGAAGGCAGAGAGGGGGGAGAGAGTAAATCAGAATAGGGGGATAGTTAAATACGGTAGAATGTAGAGCTCCAAACTCTAAGATGTGGGTTCAAATCCCGCTCACCCTGCCATACACTTGATTCAGAGGGCCGGAGGCCCCGAATGATCAACGGCATGGGCAAACCATGCCGTTGTAGGGTAGCCCCCCCTAGCATAGCAACCATACCATACCAACCCGCAACTACCAAGCAAAAAAATGGCGTTTACCCCCTGTAGTTCTCTCTCCTATCGTCGATACCCTATTCCTCTGGTTCACATTTCAGGTCTTCACCAGGTAGTACCTCCATACGGTTCTTTTGAAGTTTCCTTCCCTCCTACTTCCTTTTCTATTCTTAAGCCTAGTGTACACTTAAGGATGGCAGAAAGTAAGCAAGTGTAACGATGAGTAAGAGTGATAGGATGGGTAGAGTGAGTTGAGAGTTTGAATCAAAGAAGATAGTGGCTGATACCATCTTTGCAAGGGTGGTACGAACTACCAGTTAAGGACGTAGCATTGGCTACTTGTTTGGATTCATATGTAACCTAAATTGAATGATTTAGTTCTATGCTTTTCCTACTTTCTTCTTAATCTTTGCCATTTGCATTTGGCAATGGTTCCTTGACTAGATTTAGACCCTATGTGGGTCATTACTTCTTGTATTCATGAACCTTCTAACTCTTATTATAGGCCGACTAGCTTGGATTTTAGGTCGTTTCATGTTTACCTTAATCTTTACCCTTTGGGTGTGCTTCCTTATCGAAGCAATAGCTTCAGAGATTCAATCTGGTTGACCTTACTTCTATCTTTGGTTACCTGGTGTTTCATTTGGCTTGGTTATCCTCTGATGATGAAAAGAACTACCCTTTGACATAAATGTATCATCCAGCACCTCGAGCCGATTTCCTTCTGGTCTTCATTGATACTCTTGTTATTCTTTGGGGTTAAAAAGGAGTTTGATTGGTTAACCTTTGGGCATTATCAGTCCTCTCTTGGGTTAAGCGCTTCATTACTAAGCTCATATAAGAAAAGCCCATTGG